CCGTGGCATTACAGCTCACAGCAACCTCAAACTCTTGGGCTCAAGTGATTCTCTTGCCTCAGCCTCCCAAGTAGCTGGGACTATAGGTGCCTGCCATAATGCCCGGCTATTTTTAGGCTAGGCACAGTAGCTCATGCCTGTAATCCTAGCACTTTGGGAGGCTGAGGCCAGCAGATCACTTGAGCTCAGGAGTTCGAGACCAGTCTGACCCCATCTCTACTAAAAACAGAAAAACTAGCAGGGTGTTGTGGTGGGTACCTATAGTCCTAGCTACTCAGAAAGCTGAGGTGAGAGGATGACTTGAGCACAGTCGAGGTTGCTGTGTGCTATGGTGCCATGGCCCTCTACCCACCCAGGATGACATAGTGAGACTCTCTTCCCCTGCAAAAAACCCAAAAAACACACAAAAAGCCAAAGAGGCCAGCAACCCTATGTCCTAAAATTACCGTAGGGATGGCAGAAGGATGGCTGGTCATCACAGTCCTAATGATAGAGGCAATCATGAGGATAACTAATACAACCAGGGATTGGAAGAAATGACACTAGAACCAGGATATCTACTGGATTTTGGTGTGTGGGTCATACATGTAGGTGACAAGGAAGACAGCTACCAATAGCCTTTTCCTATTAACTCTGCATAGTCTGACTCATATCTACGTCTCTATCTTTGTCTTTCACCACTATCAGATTCCCTCTTTTTTTTTATGGCATTGTTCTAGCTAACTACAACTTCAAACTCTGGAATTTGAGTGATATTCTTGCCTTAGCTCCTGAGTAGAACTATAGGCACATACCACCATGCCTGGCTAATTTTTCTGGGTTTTTTTTTTATAGAGATGGGATCTCACTATGTTGCCCAGGCTGGGCTAGAAATCCTGGCCTCAAAGAATCCTCTTGCCTCAGCCTCCCAAAGTGCTAGGATTATAGGAGTAAGCCACAGTGCCTGGCCAGGTTCCCTCTCTGTGTAACAGCAACACTGGTCACCTTGAATAGGCTATGATCTTTCCCACTATGGAACCCTTATACGTGATGTTGGTTGCCTGGAACTCTTTCATTCCTTACATTCATGGTGGATCCACCCCATACCTTACTCCCACAGTTACTTTCCCAGTTAATGTCTATTTATCTGTCAGTTCTCAACTCAAGCATCATTACCTCCTAAAGGAATATTTCCTAGATCATCTAGGTTAGATTAAGTTCCTCTGTGGGTTCTCACAGAACATTATTCCTTTCTTTCATAGCACTTATAGCAGTGCATTATATAAACAGAAGAATATTTGATTAATATCTATTTTCCCAGTTGAATGCAGTGGCTCACACTTGTAACCCTAGCACTCTGGGAAGCCAATGGTGGAGGAATCTTGAGCTCAGGAGTTTAAGACCAGCCTAAATAAAAGTGAGACTCATCTCTACTAAAAACAGAAAAATTAGTCAGGCATTGTGGTGGGTGCCTATAAACCCAGCTACTTAGGAGGCTGAAGCAGGAAGATTGCTTGTACCCTGGAGTTTAAGGTTGTTATGAGCTATGCTAATGCCGTATCACTCCAGCCTAGGCAACAGAATGAAACTCTGTCTCAAAAAAAGAAAAAAAAAAAAAGGTCTGTTTTCCCCGTTAGACTGAAAACTCCAAGCCAGTGGATCTGTGTCTGCTTTTGCTTACCACTATTTCCCCAATACTTCAGCACAGTACCTGGCTTATAAGAATTGCTCAATAGGCTCGGCGCCTGTGGCTCAAGCAGCTAAGGCACCAGCCACATACACCTGAGCTGGCGGGTTCAAATTGAGCCAGCCTCGCCAAACAACAATGACAGCTACAACCAAAAAATAGCTGGGTGTTGTGGCGGGCACCTGTAGTCCCAGCTACTTGGCACGCGGAGGCAGGAGACTCGCTTGAGCCCAGGAATTGGAGGTTGCTGTGAGCTGTGATGCCATAGATGTCACCCAGGGTGACAGCTTGAGGCACTGTCTCAAAAAACAAAACAAAACAAAGAATTGCTTAATAGGCTGGATGCAGTGGCTCATGTGGGAAGCCAAGGCGGGTGGACAGCTTGTGCTCAGGAGTTGGAGACCAGCCTAAGTAACAGTGAGACCTTGTCTCTATTAAATAAATAGAAAACTAGCCAGGCATGGTGGTATACGCCTATAGTCCCAGCTACTCAGAAGTTTGAGGTTGCTGTCAACTGTGATGCCACAGCACTCTGCCCAGGGCAACAGAGTAAGACTCTGTCTAAAGAAAAAAAAAAAA